ATAACAGACTTAATATATTCATACTGTTGAAGACAGGGCTGGGCAGGTCAGGAAGCACATTTCTGGGGGGAAATATGAGACTGGAAGTGTGTTGAGGTCACCCTGTGGTAATCTTTAAGGTTGGTAAGAGCCAAGATGTGGCTGGCTGGAGGCAGCACACACACAGTCATTTACATGCTGGATGCTATTTGTAAGCTTGCAAGGCATTGTAAAGGACACCACACATTACAGGGCAGGGGTGACACAGATACTCATTGGTCTGGATTGTACCCTGGTATGTCACAAATACGATGTCTGGTCATAAATAGAATTTTTTTAAGTTCTACATAGTGATTTTTCTATTGTATCAAATGCTAAGTCAGTTTCTCAGTCCAGAGAGTAAATAGCAATGCATACTTCAAGGCCTCATCTTAACACCAAAGTTGTTCTGCTTTGACCATACCAGTACAGTTAATGTGGAATGATCCCTCCCAGTGTGGATGCAGTTATATTGGTATAAAGGTGCCTTAACCAGTGTAGCTTATTTCCACACAAGAAGAGGAATAAGGTATACCATCATGAGGCATGCTAGATGTTGTGCTGGTAAACTACGGCAGTAGAAAACCATACCCCTAAGCAAAATAGTTATACCAGAACAATAAATGTGTATAGATCAGACCGAGGGGCTTTAGGAAACAGGGTGAGAAAAATAAGATGGCAACTGTTACAGTTGGGAATTTCTGTTCCCAAGGAATTACCGGTTTCAAACCTATGAAAGAAATGGCTTCAGGGTTTAAAAACCATTTCAGACAGTTGCTAGATTACAAACCATAGGCCTGATTTTCTTCAGAGGTTCTGAGCACCCACAGCGCCTATGAAGTCAACTGGAGCTGTGAGTGCTCAGCACCTTTGTATATCAGATCCTTAGAGAAATTTTGGCAATTTTCCTGAATTACAACTAGGTGAGAAGGATTGCTTTTTTTTATTATTATTAGCAGCTAGACTCTGTATTGTGCAGTACTGGAAAAATCGGACCCCTCCTCCTATGGCAGTGTTTCTCAAACTGGGGTCACCGCTTGTGTAGGGAAAGCCCCCTGGCAGGCCGGGCAGGTTTGTTTACCTGCCCCTTCCGCAGGTCCAGCCGATCGCGGCTCGCCGCTGGAGGCCAATGGAGGCTGCTGGAAGTGGCAGCCAGCACATCCCTCGGCCCGCACCACTTCCAGCAGCCCCCATTGGCCCAGAGCAGCGAACCGTGGCCTGTGGGAGCAGCGATCGGCCGGACCTGCGGACGGAGCAGGTAAACAAACCGGCCCCTGGCAGGGGCTTTCCCTACACAAGCGGCGACCCCAGTTTGAGAAACGCTGTCCTATGGAGCTGTAGTACAGTAAAATATGGACTGTCCTTATAACGAAGAACCCCTCCCATCGGTGTAGGTAGTGTCTACATTGAAGTGCTACAGCAGCACATCTGCAGCTGTGACTCTGTAGTGGTTTAAGTGTAGACATGCCCTAAACCTCTTCTAGGCCTGTTAGATACAAAGATCGTCTCTCACATTTCAACAGAACTGTAAAAGAGACAATAAACTCTGTATTTCTGGGTAAAGAAACACACAAATTCAGAAAACTTTCAAACATTGGAGGTCATTATGGTTCACTGTTTGCTATTCTTTCCCCATGGCACACTTCATTTAAATGGAGGTTTGTTGCATAGGTAGATTACAAGTGTCTGTTACCTTGATTGTTTCTCTGTTTTTTAGTGCTTGTCCTAGTTGCTATTCAATGTCAGCAAAGTTTTTTAAAATGATTGTTTGGTGGTGATAGTGGTTTTGGCATATAAACTCTGTTATATGGGGAAATAATATGAATCTAAAGTAAGTGTTATAAAGATGTACATAGATCAGATTTCTATTTCTTGTGTATTCTGACTTGTATATGGTTTGTGCTATACTGAAAATCAAAATACTATTTATTACAGCAGTGCCTGGAATACCTAACCTAGATTGGGGACCTGTTATGCTAGGTACTGTATGTACACATAGTAATAGACTGTCCCTGGCCTGAAGAGTTCATGGTATGACTAGGTAAGTCAGCCAAAGGATGGGAGAAAGAAAGTAGTATTAACATCATTTTACAGATGGGAAACTGAGGCACAGAAAAATTAAGTGCCTTGCCCAGGTTATCAGTGGAAGTCTGTAGCAGAGCCTAAAACGGAACCTACACCTCATGAGTCCTGGTCCATTGCCTTAAAAACAACACCTAGTTCTTAGTGATCATTACCAGTAGGTCTCAAAGGGCTTTACAAAGGAAATCAATATCATTATCACTCATTTTATAGCTGGGGGAAACTGAGGCACAGAGAAGGGGACGGGATTTGCCCAACGCCACCCATCAGACCACTAGCAGAGCTGGGACTAGAGCCCTGTGTTCGTGACTCCCAGTCCGGTGTGCTACCCACTAGGCCACACACTCCGTCCCTTAGCTACACGCCCATCCTTGTAATCTTTTGAACAATAACAATGATTTATTTTAGAAATTAGATGAAAGTTCCATGAAAACTTTATATTCTTTGAATTAACTCCAAAAACATCTTTTGAGACTCTCTGTTCTGCTTGAGAGGTTTTTTCTCTATTAAAACATAACTTATTACTATAATCGAGGAAACCAGCGTCACACAGTTCCTGAAATTTTTCTAAGTATTTGTGTAACAAATTAAGTGTGTGAACAAAACAAAAAAGAATCATTCAAATTATACTTATCAAGCCTCCACTTTGGTATGCAGGTGTGTTATCAAATAACATACTATATAAATGAGACTTTTGAGGACTTTTTTTTCATTCTACTTCAGAGCAGAAGGGTGAGTGAACTCTTTTATAAAACTACAAAGAACTTCACTTAGGCCATGCTGCAAACATGCTCTCCCTTTTCATTTTCTATTATATTTTCAAATGCTTTGCTATATTTACCTTTATTGTTACTATTCCAGTCTACTCATATTAGTGATTTCATCAGATGTGGAGTTGCTTGAAAAATGCTGGGGTTTTATGAATGAGGAGAGAGAGGAAGAGCAAGAATTAGGATATCTCTATACTGCGATTGGGACACAACATGTAGGCATACCAGAGCTAGCTTTGAGCCAGCCAGCTCACTAAAAATAACACAGGGCCATTGTCAGCAGCATGGGCTGGCCACCTGAAGGTCCGGGTGGGATTGCACTCGGGTGGGCATCCTGTGCCATTGCAGCTGCACAGCTATCTTTAGCAAACTAGCTCGATGGAAGCTAGGTCAGGTCTGCCTTCACATGCTGCAATCGTGCCTCGAAATTGCTGTGTAAACGTCCCCTTAGAGTGGAATAGTTGCTTTTCCATCTTAACATCCAAAGGATCAGGAACCTGGCACTGCATCAAGATGCACAAGTTTGGAGTCAGTAGGACTCCACCCATCTTCACCACTCTCACTATTTTAGCTGAATGATGCTAATAACTGAAGGAGAATTCGTGCTCTAGTACTGTACATTACATCCATTTCAGTTTTAAAGATTTCTAACTGGATTGTAATGAGAGCAGGTCAGAAAACATTTTGATTTTTTTTTTCAAAATTGCTCACATTTCTAAAATTTGAAAAATTTCAACCAGCTGTATAGTTGGTCAAAAATTGAGAAGAAAGTGTTATCAAAAATGTCCTGTTTAGATCTGGAATGTTTTCACCATTTTGAGTCATTTAGACTTGGTGTGGATTATAAAGTTATTTTACAGATGCAACCAGTCTATGATCTGCCATACATAGGGCCCTTCGTTTTCAGTTTTTATTTTATTTAATTTTTCCCAGGAATTTATCAGAGTTTATTACCAAAACAACAAAATCAGGTGAAAATCAGTGCAAAAAACTATTAATAATTTTTCTGGGTAAATATCAGGGTTTATTTTGGTGGACGGAAAGACGGGGGGGAAGTATTCAGTAGATTAATGCTTTGAATTCCGTTCCTCAATGTGGTTTGCTGCAGAACTAAAACAGAACTCAAAACACAATACCACCTGAGTTTAGAAAACAATATATCTGTAATCCCCAAATAAAACTTTACATTTGAATAAACAGTTTACTGTTATAGACTTAGAACTATTGACCTATAAATATTTCATTTAATAATTGGGCCACACCATTTGTAAGCCATAAACTCACCTTCATCCTTTTCTCCTGTTTTTTTTTTTTTTAACTTTTGAATACTTCTGAAATGTATTCTGATACCGATTTTCATTTTCTTCCCATTTTAGTGTGTCAAATCTTTAAAGCATTATCTGCTAACAGCTTGAAATGTGTACGTAGTGGGTGTGAGATTTATAAGGGCGCTCAGATGCACATGCACTTCAGAGCTTGCGTGCATGTCTGCTTGTTTATCGAGTGTATCTTCTAGACTAATATATAGCCTTACTTCAACAGGCAGGTTTGCATATACACACAGACTAATGTATTATCATAATACGTGTATCTCATGCTATGTATTGTATTTTCCTAATAAAACAAGTTATTTTTATATATTTGAATTATACAAAAGTAGGGTGAAAAATTAGAAAAAAATTAACCATACTTTTTGTAAAACCTGGCAATAGTTCGGTAAAAATTGGTTGAAAACTAAAAAGAAAGGGACTTAGCCATACATAACATAAGAATCAATCCTGCTTGCAAGCTAATGTTTGGAATGATGCATTTTTCAAAACTGCCATGTAATATATTACATTTGATGTACACACATCAAATAAAAAAGAGCATGATTTATGACCATTGCCACCAAATGACTAATACCAATTATTTTTTTATATATTTTATTTTATTTTA